CGAAAGCGCTTTTTTGTCACGAAGTCAGGAGGCCTTTCAAAGGATACAAGGAATCTCTCCCCCTGTGTTTCTTTATCTAGCTGTCAAAAGACATGAAGTGGTGTGAAGAGCATTGTCGCCCTCCTCAGGATCAAAGAATTTAACCAAATTACTGTTACTGGTCTCAAACAAACGCTTGTGGTCATGTTTGGCCACTTCGATGCTTGGAAGCGGTGTTGAACCACTTCCACTACCGAAAATAGTTTTGCGTATGCTTAATCTAAGTAATCGCACGTGCAAATCACTAAGAATATAATGCATCACTCTCACAGCTAGCCAACGCTATACGAAGCCCTTACGTGCGTTCCTCGCGCGATGTCGGCGTCAGCTCTGGATGGATACTGTGGCTGGCAGGCACGGCAGCGCAACTCCAGCTTTCGATGAGATTGCCAATATTTCCACATTTTGCCGTCGTAAGAAACTCGCTTCCGTAGCTTTGTCAACACTAATTATTCAGCATTTTTAGCCTGTGCGACAAACCTGTCGTTCTGTCGGTGGCGAGGGGGGAAATCATTGCAGCTTTGACTCGATCGCGATAAATATGAGAATTGAGTCCCAGCAGAGGCTGTAACTGAGCCAAAATTCAATCGCAAATTATGAAAGCCACCATCCAAAATAGGTGCTTTGCTTGCCATAAAGCAACCTTTTGATTTGACCAGGAGAGAGATTGTGCTAATTCATGGTCTCATGCGGTGAAGTGGAGCTCCCCCCCCCCCCCCCCAGTTTGACCGCTTGCCAGGGGGTGAGCTTTACTGACCTGCCCCAGAGCCGCGCAAGTCTGGGAGTGGGCGCAGCTTAAACGCGTCCCCTGTCTAGCTGCCACCTAGATCAAATCGAATTATTTCAACGCGGACTACAGGCAGAATACACGTTGTCCACTTTCGTAAGTTGCTAAGTGCAGTTGCGAGGAATATCATTGGCATAGATAAAAGTCAACAGTAATCGCAGCAGTCAGTAGAAATAGCAGTAATAGCGGTCAGCAGTAATAGCAGTAGGTGGTCCCTAGTGAGGCACTAGTAATAGCGCCTTATTCTTTGGAGAGAAACCAGAAGGATGGCGATATAGATGCGTTGATATTTTGGCAGCACGCTTTTACCGAAACGAATAGCAGAAGTGAATTAATTTAGTTATGCTATTCGTTTCGATAAAAGCCTGTTGCCGAAATGCCAGCCCATCTATATCTCAATCCTCCCGGTTTTTCTCCGAGGAATAAGGATATTATTGCTGTCTTATCGTTGCTTGCTTTTGAACATACTTTTTCAGTAATCACGGCAGACTCCGCCGTGGGTAACACTAAGCTCACTGCGATCACGAGCCAATTAGCGATTAACCCATCATTTGCAGGGCTCACCTTATGGCCCAACACTGCGAAAGCTGTGTCACAGCATGTCACATCTAGCCGCGCGGTTGCAGCGAAGATAACTAAGACCCCGCACAACCCCGCCACGATAACGTGTGAGACGACGCACAATCTCCTGGGCCCTGACGCACTCCTGCCAAAACCGTGGCAAATGAGCTGATTAGTGGATCAAGTGGCGAGCTGATTAACGAAGCCCGGGAACCTGGGGCACCCGCACGGTTTGCCAAGTGCAAAAACAGACGGACCAGACGGACAGTTCGCGGTCCGATCTGACCTTTCCGGTGGCTCTCAAATTGTATTGCGCGCGGACGGCGCCACTAACTAACTCACGGGTGACGCCAACAACACCGACTGCACGCCCGGTCTTGTTGACTGTCCGGTCGGTGCTGTTGACTGCACAGCCGGTTACGTAATTATCGCTCGTTGTCACCGTTCTTATCGACGTACTTAAATAGTCCACCATTGTTATCGGTTTTGCTCCGCACTGGACCTACGCGCGGTCACTGCAAACAGCAAGCATTGCAACAGCGTGGCATTGGGCTGCGCTGATGCCCGGCGTTGATGCAGTGCATAGCACTCGTATTGTTTTTCAATGTTTGGTGGCATAAGTCTTAATTATTATCCCATGCACGACACTCATATTGCTTTTCAATATTTGGTGGTGTCAGCCTTAGTTATGATCTTAGTCTTAGTTATTAACAGTCATAATTTTTACGCAACATTGATCTGTCAAGCTTCCTAAAACTACCTTACAATAATATTGAGCATTTCTGCTACCGCTACGAGCATTGTGCGTATGACATGGTGCAGTGGCGACCATTCAGATCAACCGACAGTCATTTTGCTGTTCTATCCAACCTGTTCGTAAATGATGCCCGTCTGGCCGCATTCCGGGGGGGGGGGGGGGGGGGGCATGGCATGACGGGTAACAAGGGTGTTGTCTTTGAATACTGAGCTATGTTTACGAGTGCATGTCGAGCATCTCCCCTGCGTCGAACAGACATGCCTTGTCATCATTGCACACTGCGTGGAAATCAGAAAATCCCAAGCTCGTTAGATGGAAGGCAAAGCGGGACAAAATTCCAAGTTTAATCAATGCATTAGCTCACCAGATACCCGTGGAAGTAACGACATATTCAGGGGACACATGGCCAATGGTGGGGTTTTCGTTATTTTGGGGGGTTTTCGGATGCGCCGACTGCAATGGCCGTTTGGCGTCTATTAGGTGCAGTTAGCTTGGACCACTTACATGATCCTTGGTATGCAGCAGATCCAGAGGAATGACCACCGGCTAAGAAGCAGAGCTGCGACAAGCACAAGCAAAAAGGTTTAAATATTTATATGGCAGAAAAACTTTAAAAAAATTGTCATGAAGGTAAGGTTAGGTAATAGTCGTTTTCACGCAGATTAATGCACTGAAAAGTTCTTTCAATTCTTTTGATAAATGCTTCTATGCAGTTTTAGCATACCTTTAATACTTTGGCAAGGAAAATTTTTTCATGCAATTCCATTAACTGCACTAATTAAACCCCATGTATACAACCCAGAAAAAATTTGTTCGATTTAAACGAGATGCTGATAGACAGCTTCTACAGCCCATGTCTTCAGCCCAACCAAATTCTTGGAGAATACTAGGCCTGGTAATCAGTAATGTGCATCGGTCCGAGGTGTGGGATGTCGGCCGCCTTATTATTGCTAACATTGCTGCTGTGTAGAGCAAGGCAGGCTTTGGGGATCATTTCAGTTCAGGATCATTCATCATGGATCATGTTAAGGTGTGTAAATCCTGTGAGCTCTGTAAGTACTGTAAGCAAGCTCTGTACGTACTGTGAGTAAGCTCGATAAGTAGTTGATTACTATCAGCAGGGACGCTACAAGGGTATGAGTTTGTTTTGTCTCACCTGCGTCACAGATGCCATGGAATGTTTTAATTAAGTTTTAAAAACTTCTTTAGGTAGCGATCTGGCATGATTCTCGTTCATAAAAGCATGATCTTGCTTATAGCCAGCTAATCGCAATTTTATCAAGTTACACGTTGTAACACGTTGCTAAATCTCTGTGAAATATTTCTAGCCGGAAATGGCTGATAAAAGATATGTGGTTAGAAAGCATACGCTGAAAAGTTTAAAAAAAACATGTTTCAGGCTTGTACTGTAATATTTTATAAAACGGCTAATGTGGTATTGTTTGCTTGGTACGTAACGTTTGGTATGAACTGGATTTGTACTGAGCACTCCTCTATCATACAAACTGCTCGTGTTTGTTCGCAGCACTGCTTAATTAGCCACGGGGTGGTGGAAATCAATACAAGATTTTGTTGGCCTACGGCCCGCCAAAATGGGGTTAGCGGGGACATAATAACTAGGTATGGCTGTTTTAGTGATATTACATGAAAAATCAGGAACTTATAGTTACGAGAAGCTGCCAAACCATTTATATGCAAAATCACCAACCGAACTTCCGCGATGAAGCACCAGTCATTTGTTGGAGATATTCCGGTGTCACGGCATGAAGTCTGAAGGTTAGCCGTAACGATTCGGTGGAGTGATTCCCTGGGTCTCTGTTGGAACAGGAAACCGCCATCTAGGACGTAAAACGACCTCCAGCGTTGGCGCGTTCTGAGGCCGCAATCATCATACTGGGACCACGCTGCCCGCCAGCATCAATGATTCAGCCTCTTCTAATGGGGCAGCACCGCCGTTGTGCCAAACTTTCCCTGGCCCCGTTTCTGAAAGACAGTACGCCATCTGATGGGTCGCCATCGCTGCTGGGCACGTGGCCATCGATTGACAACAAATTATTCGGAAGAAGTCCGGCTAGGCCACGTGCGTGGGGCGGCTGGTGGTGAATCTTAGCAGGAACTTAAGCCGTTGCGATGAGCTTCTGCAACGGTATATTAGGCATAGTGTTGCAGCGTTGGGGTCTCTGCGCATGCGCAGAGACCAGCATAATGGACCAAAAGCATTACACCAGCAGTGGATACCGATCTAGCGTGGCCAGTTGGTTCCAAGCAAACACTTGCGTCCGCGCTTGGTATGGGACTAGTTCTACGCCTAACCCTCCCGCCCGCTCAAAGTTGCCATTCAATTCCCATTGAGGGGACTTAACAACACACCTGCAAGACTGTATGGCCAATTTCAGTCGATTTTGTGCGCCAAATTCAGAAAGTTTTCATATCGCCCGTCCCACCGCGACCTACTTCGAAGCCACTCTGCGTTACTCTGGCCACATGGCCACAATATGCGCCTGCCAGTGACTCTAAAACTCTTCTGTGTGTAGACGGTGGGACTGTCTGTGTCTCCCGCGATATTTTCGTAACCTGCTGTGTGCCAGATGCATGCGTCTATGACAAGGATGCAGCATTTTCTGCAACTACTGAAACCGGGGAATCACTGAAATCACTCAAATGATTGGCCCTCACCAACGACATTAGCTCTAAAACAGCCCTCGCAGAGCGAACCAGGCAGTCGGAGGCCCCTACACCGTAGGACCAGCAGACCCAGCAGTTGTGTGCGAAACATGCTAATGCAAAGAAAATCAAGGACCGACAAGATATGATGGAATACATTCCATCGAATGCCAAAACATTATCAATACTCACAGTCCTCGAGATGAAACACGCAGTGCTGGGAGTCAAACGGGTAATCTCTGAAGCTCATCTTGCAGACAATCGTGACAGTGAGCCTAGAAGCAGGGAAGCGCTGTTTAATATCAGCAAGAAGTACGAGCACATTTTATCACATCAATCGAAATGCGTGATTGCACTTTGGCCAATACCTACGTCCCATTGACGCTATGGGGACTTAGCTGACTGAATGTTTGAAGGAGTTTGGCGTTTTCGTGTCAGGTCTTGTCTATCCCTTCAATGCGGAATATATATCCGCTCACCAAGACGGATGCTGCACTTTAACGCTGACTAGACACCGAACTCGAGCAGAAAATAGTTGCAGCTCAACGCCACGACTAATTGGAGAGAATGCCGTCTACTAATGGGGGGTCGGGGAGGGGGGGGGACGGGGGCCTTGGGGCCCTTATAAAAATTATAATGACACGAAATGACAACCAGGATGAATACCAGAGACGCAGAAGGTCATGGCGAACTGAAAATAATGATTTACACAAAATGTTCGCTTCACTTGCGTGATATTTACGGGTTTGGCCACCTTCCTCAGCGTAAGAACCAGACAGCTGAAGCGACAACTTTTCCTGTTCCATAACCGGTGTATGTACTCGAGAAGTCGTAAAAGCCGAATAGTTAGCACCTTCGACTCCCGGGCGGGGGCCCGGGTGCGAACCCCGGTTACGTCATGACCCCTGAACGCTGTTAAGGCTTCTTCAGTCGCTGGCGCTCGAAACAAGGGTGCGGGGTGGCGCGCATCACGTTACGCTTTTTTAAGAGGTTTCCTTGCAAAACACCTGCAAGCGACACTTGTTCTATCCGCCGCTTTGCACGTCACTCCCGTCTATCTGCCGTGCTTAACCTAAGCGTACCAACGTGTCGTCAATTTGATTCTCGAAATAGTGCGCTGATATCGTGCAGGCTCTCATACCGACCTCACATGATCTTAACCACGAACGTGTTTGACAAAGTCACCACCAAATTTGATGCGCTCATTGCGTAAGCACTAACACCCCTTTCAACCACTAAACATGACAGCGTGCAGACAGTGCCAAGAACACATCGCATTGAGGATTTTTTTACAGGTATTCGACGGGCAGATTTCTTTAGAATGGGTCATATTTGTTGACGTGACAAGACCATGCCTCGATAAACTGACGTCTTGGAAACTGATAAGTTCACGTCGGGCGCAAAGATATTCCCGAACTCAGCTACATCGCACTTCATCATGATCTACCGAGCGACTCGAGGGACAGATCTGAAGAACCAGAAGCGGTTCCACCACCAACGTCATCCCACTCCGACGAGGTGCACTAACATGATATATTTCTTATCATCATGAGGTTCAAAAATGATTTTGTGTAGCCAGGTAGGCAAAACCAGAAGAGTCATCGGTCATTACTTGCCCTGACCGTGGTCCATATCGATAATAACTTTCCTGAATAGAGTTTCTTATCACTCTGGCCTGGTAACGCTCTTGTTGAGGTATTGTGCGCACCGGAATGAATAAGATGCAGGAAAGATAATAACATGTACGATATCTGCCTCCCGTTTATGCTTCCTACCCGCTCTCAGCAAAATGATTTAGTTCTAAATAATCGGACGCGTTTTTGCATGCATGACAGTTTTTAGCTCGATGGTACAATACGCCACGACATAAGCCTTCTTCAAAATGGGTGACTTCAGTGACTTTCATGCCAGAATCACATCATCACCTTGCAAACGACTTCAGGCGACATGTAATCCATTTCAATGGCCTGCCATCCATCACCCGACTGGGAACTCACAAGACGGAGTAGCGAATGAAGCCGTTGTACTGCATCCGCAGACTGCTGGCCGGAGATATGAGCTTGTATATCCGCAGATCCTTCATATGATCTGCAACCAGACCAGCCGATGATTGGGTCGTGAGCGCAGGGACCGCATGGCGCCGCGCGTGTGCCACAGGCGCTGGGGTGGCATGCAGAGCGGCGCGCCGCCAGCGCCCTCTCGTGGGACTCTCCTCAGGCGCCATCATCAGTCTCGGTCTCCGCCAACGCTCGCAGCCGGGCAGCTGGGAAAGGCCAGCTGCGCATGTTACAAAAAAGACCGTGGGATAGCGTGCCAGGCTGCCACACAACGGGGTACTCTGCGTCCGCCGTCGCACGTTGTCGGGGTGTGGTCTGGCCGCAGCGAACTTGCGGGAAAAACGGTAACATCACCTTTGGCAAACTCTGCAAGCACGGCCGATTTCGACGTACGTCAACGTAGTTTTTCTGAACCAATTCATTCTATTATGAGAGTATGGTTATCGTTATTTTCCGCGGAATACATCATCATGCTGCTCATGAAATTAGCGGCATCTCATATTCGTTTCCAAGGGCCATTTCCATTTATTAATTCGGGACAGCCATGCGAAAGTCGTAAGCATTTACGAGGACGTAAAATTCAATTGCTGTATGGTAGCTGGACTTGCTGACGCCAGCACCTTTACACCGCGGCTCAATACCTAGAGATACTGTTCTGCGTCTACTCGAAATCAATGTGTATTGGCATTGTAAATTGCAATAGTCTCGTACTAATGGTCAATTACATCGAGGTTGGCATAAAACGCCTCGTAACTAGCATGTCGTACAAAATGACGAGTCTTATCTGCAAAGTCATATCCCAAATATCTGACAGAAACAATTACATTTGCTCTTGTGCTGACAACTCGTCAACCGAATGACATGATAAGCCACCGCATTCGAAACAACATATGGGACCGGGGTTACCACATCGGGGCATGACAGGAAGGTCCAGGGGAGCGCGGGGCGGTCTGCACCTCCCAGCACGGCGCGTGGCGCTCCGTGTCCATACCCACGAACGTGATGGGCTTCCACATGTTGTCGAACACAGACGGGTGCACGTTGAACCACTGGCCGGGCTGCAGATCGCTGGGTGCCTTCAGCCGGCTGTCGATCCAGTAGAAACGAAGAAACATTTCGGTGGCCAGCTCCTGCGGCGCGGACGTCTTTGCTGTCATGCGTCAAGACCAACCACGCAGATTTCCTTAACGCCAGTGGGTTGCCACTTTTTTAGGTAGACGTACGCAGTTGAACATGGAGGTAAATCACAGTTTTCACCCGGTTGTACAAACCTTGGCACCAGGTAATTTGAAAGGCATTAGTATGCAAGATATCTGACAGACAGCGTCTCTTTAACAAACTTCAATAACACATGATGATGTGAGCATTTGATATAAGTTTCGACCAGCTGTGAATGTAAGCCAGTTTTCCTTTGAAAGAAACATGTGGATTAGTTGCATGACCAGCAAGGGGTCTTAGCAAAAAAGAGAAAGAAGTAGACACGCTTAAAACAAATTAATGACGCATAGAGCTCAGAGGATATGCACGTGGACACTTCTCCCCAAACCAGAAAACTCAAAGGTCAGGCTACAGCAGAGGTGTTCGTGGTCCTGCCACGCGGGAGCGACACAGAAGTGAAGCGTCTCAGATGACACCTCCATCGCGCGGAATGCCGGGATCGGCGCAGGCGGACGGCGACAGAAAAACGACCGGAGCGGGCAGAAGGCGATGTGGAAGGCTCGCTGCGAGAGATCGATTACTTCGCGACGGGAGAACTGGTAACGGCGGGAAGCGTTCAGGGATGGTCGGCAGCCAGGATGGGGCTGGTTAGCCCCGTCCGGCGAATAGCGACATGCAGTGAGGCGACAAAGCCTGTTGTCCCTAGATCTGTCCCAAACCTTTTCCCACGAAATATCTCATGCTGTGCGCATGCGTTCAGGTCAAGTGCAACGTTCATGCGCTTATGGTTTGAAGCTGCAGCGATATTTGCAGCCAACATACCTGTCGCCACGAATTGGCGGGAACGACTTTAAAATACGAACGATTTGGTACTTACCATATGTTCTTCGTTGACATCTTGAATGTCTCTTATCTTTAAGCTGAGGGATACCTTCAGTGGTTGGCCTGCAAATAAGAAATATACCACGTCAAGTCAAAAACGTAGCCCAGAAACCTTAAATTAAAGGAGCCGGGGCCTGTCGGGCTATACCGGACAAAGTCCTCATTAACTCTACTTCGGACAGGGGGAGGTGGATTAAGTCGCCCTTGAAAATTTGAAGCTTGAAACACTGCAAAGTCATGGGCAGCCTCAGCAGATGCAAAACGGATAGAACAAACGTTATCAAAATGGGTTTTTCGTTGAAAGGTAACGGAGCAAACGGGCTAATGTTCTATTTCTCATCAGACATTCGTCTTCCTTTTTCTTTTTCTTCCACCAACCACTCCCACTAATCGTTTTCATTTGTGAAATGCTGATAATGCTGTCCGTTTTCTTTGCGATATTATGTCACAGATCGAAGAAATACATGATGAGGATGGCAATCGGATACCTCGCGTGAAACTGTTCCATATCTGTCCATTAACATCACGCTTAATATCCTCAATGGATCTAGCGGGTTCAACAACATCGTTTAGCCATGTTGTAAATTTTCAGAACGTGTGCAGCATGCAAGTGAGATGAGATGCGTTTCATAGCCCTTACACATTGAACTATGACGGACATTAACCCGAGAGATGGCGTGACCTGAGAAATGTGAGACCATGTCATACGATTAAGTTTGACGTGCATTTCTTCCACCCCATTTTCTCAACACGCAAGCAAGACACGACAAATCAACAAACAACACCGGCTGGGCCTACCAAAATTACATCAAAAGTCTGTCAAGTCTGCAAGGCATATAGAACAACATTACGAGACGCTAGGCTGATTTCCGCCAAAATGCATTTGGCCCGGCGCATTTGTCCGAGACCTGGGGCAAAGAGACGAAAATAACGAGCTCTCGTCATGCATTACGTAATCCTGTACTTACATAGTCATTGGGAATTCTGGGTATATGAAAATTTGCTGATGTGGGCCAGGGCATTGGCATGTAACTGGAACATTTCGGCAGGGCTATTCATTTGAACTGCGAGTGAAGCTGCTGTAAAGGTAACATGCAGATGCTACCATTTTTGTGTTGATGCTTTATGCATGCCGAAGTGTAGCGTGTTTTCCAACCAAATCTTTCCATACTTTGAGGGACTTTCATCTGACGGCGACTGAACATACATTCCACCCCCAGCAATGGAGTTTCTATTGTGCAATGGACCGCAGGTAAGTATGCCATTTTTGGCGTTCTGACACACGACCAAAGCTAATGGAATCCAAAACGAACCGGTGCCATGCAAGAAAGGCATGACAAAGAGCGTCGATTGTTTGCCCTCTGTATTTATGCCACTCTGGTGAGGTTTGGCGGACTAACTGGCACGTGTGTGTCCACAGTCTGCCCGTAATGGGTCTGTGGGTGCATGGCCACGCAAACACTGACAGCTAAACGAATAGCCGAGAAACAAAGGTCGTCACGCACGACGCTGTACAGTATCTCAGTGCCAACTGGGGTATTGATCTACTGCGATCGCTAGCAGGGTAATATTGTCCACCCCTGTTGCGTAAAGGCCCATGCGCTTGTGATCAGATCAATTTTGACTCTCATGTTGCGTGACCCCAAGGAAATGAAGACGTTTAGAGACCTCTCTTTGCACAATTAGTGATAATACAGTTCTCGTCGGAAATATTTTTTTATTTCCTGTTTTCGTCCGATGTTTTCTGTGTCCTTTAGTGTTCACAACAATGGGGGCGGAATATTGAAACCGCACCCAGACGAAAGGGCGTCTTCTGCGTCGGAAACGTACCACAATGCTGGCAGAGGTCTAGTTATTTCCGCTTTAATTCACGACTTTGACAACACAATTCATAGCAAGGTCAGGTCAGATTAAGGCCTACTATTTGAAACGGACATTTATGCTCGTTAGTCACATGACCTGTTGGGGCCCATGATGACCCGGCTAGGAGCTAATAGCTTAGAAGAGGCGTTGGCTGCAAGGATATATTTTTTAACCGATATTCTGCACAAATCGTTTCGGTTTGACAAATATAAGTTCACCTGACAAAAGCTCTACTGAGGACCGAATGCATCAATATACCATGCAATCTACTATGACTACCACGAAGTTAAAGCAAATCGCGGGTTCTGTTAAGCCATCCGATCCAAAACGGGAACCTTATGTGCTTGCGCCGGATACTTCTTGGAAGAGGCTTCTGAAAGGTGTCGCATCTCACCCTGATTCGCCGTTTTTCATAACATGGGCGGGTAGGAGGGGGTCGATACCCCTCAAGCGCTTCAAAACTAATAAAGACAAAGCATAGCAGAAAACACCGTCAAATCTTTTCAACAGGATCTCGGGAGTGGTATTAGTTTTTATGGTTTTAGGTCAATAATTGACCCTATTATGCCAGGACGGTGATGAAGTTTTCCAAAAAATCGCCCTTAAGCAGCTTTACATCATCATGCATACGAAACTCTCCCTGGTGGGGAGGGAATTGAACAAGAAACACGCCAGCTTAGGTTTTGTCTACATTGGTAGATATTTTATGTGTTTTGAGCATATACTCATAATACAAGTCCCCACTGAGTGCCGGTCCCTGCGCGCGTTCCGCAGTATCGTCGGATGTCGCCGTGCATTACTCCCAAAAAATGCCGCTGCCCCGAAACCAGAAAAGCTGGGAACATGTTTTTATCTCAAAACACGCGCAATGAATACCCCATAGACTACTGAAAATTTGGGTGCCATTGCGCGACATGTCAGACCGGTATTCTAAAAAAAATCTTAGGTGGAGATGCATCAGATCCCTCCTATCCGGGTGTTAATTCAATGCGTAAATGTATTGTTATGCACACGAAAGCAAAGTCAGATACGGATGTAAAGAGCAGAAACATAATCAACCATCAATGAGTTATAAACCAGGGTATTTTTGCGATGCTTGTGCCGCCGGCCAGTTCCCTTTCCGTTGTTTCCCAAGCACCTCAGCCTTCACGCCATGGGTGTTTGTCCTTAAGCAGGGCGACGCCACCCAGATGTTGTCTGGCTTGGAGTCTTTCACGGTGGCGCTGATCGCTGACACAGTCCCGTGATCATTTGGTGGTTATTTCTGCGCAAATTGCCCGGAAGTTAACGAAGTACACTCGCGCTTCTTGCACTAAACGTGGGACAAAATCTGCTCAATTTGTTTCCGGCCTCCCAGAGCAGACTTCGAGTCGGTTTTGAGCGTCCCCTCTCCTGGGACTCGCACACTCCCATGTTTAATATAGCTGACTATGTTTCAAGGACATCCTCAGTTAGATCCAAGGTCGTCCTTAACAGCCTCCCCTTAGTTTTGAGCAAGTGCATGGAATGATCTGAGGGTAGATTATTAATTGCATAAATGCATTGATAGTTGTATTTTTTTTTACCAAAACGTTGCTAGAAAACCATGCCTTTGAGGAGAAACGTAGCCATCTCAGGCAGAGCATCCTACCATGAGGAACAGGGACACTGATGGCAGCTTACTACAAGTGAGCATTCTTACAGTTCACTAGAGTAAGTAGGGCAAGCTCTGACATGAGCCGTCGCCGGCTCCTATCGGGTCATTTAACCCGCGACCGCCTGGAGCGTAAAAATATCCCCTCTGAGTTTCATGCATAAGCTCCGAATCGTGCAGGAAAACTCGGCAAATGGTCAGCACCTGACAGGCCAGCAATGAACACATTCTTGACCTGACAGCATCTGATGGTGGGTCATGACGCTGAGCTATGACACCATCAGTGAAGGCTTGCAAGAATAGTTTTTACTTTACCGAAGCGATTCCTCTCCTGTTTTGTTAAATGTTTTGGGGTAATTTTGACCTACCTGTCAACCGGTGGCGGTCCTCCACACTATACCAGGTCACACTAGCTCACATTCAAAGGGCAAGATGCATGGAACGAAATCTGTCGAGACGAAACTAGTTGTTACGCCCATTTGTGGCAAACGGATGGTCACAGTTGATACATCTACAAGCCAGTGACCTCTGGTTAAGTGTGAGCTAGAAAAGCAGACAAATCGCATTTAATGAGTTGACCTAACCTTAACCTGGCCTGACCTTGAATCGACCTGACCTTGTTCACAAATTTTTATAACATTTCGAAGTGTTCTTTCCATCTGTCTACGTGTCCGCATCGTTCCTTCGTGTTTTTTTTTTTGGGGGGGGGGGGCTAGAGTTACACAGCCGTGTTTCCATTACTACCAGTGCCAGAGCACCCATTTTTGACCTGACGAGTTTCCCACTTCTGTGACTTTTAAGGCCTTTTACAAGATTCGTGACATTAACAGTCACGTGGCAGATGCCGATTCAGCGATTCCTGGGTGACATCGACCAAACCTATTGACTACAGTCTGAATGTCTCTGATCCGACGGATTCTGAGCCGACGACGGTCGATGCCGCGATTCTACGGAGAATCACGTTCATCGTCATCCCCCATACGTTCCCCGGAGGCGAAACAACCGCACCTGTGTATGTCACACGTCGCATGGCGCGCATGCGACGCATTTTTACAAGGTGCAACTTGGATGTCGTACTGGCTCAAATTAATACAGACGTCTGGGAGACAATTGCGCCATTACAGTGCACAGCTGCCGCTCAAAAACTTCACGCAGTTTTACCGATGCATGGACACAGCAAACTTACGTCGCGGTATGAGTGAAATGCTCGGGTTTGTTACCATACTAACAACTTGCATTCCCATCATAGCCTATCATCATACGGCATGAGCCAGCAACAGACTACTTCTACAAACGCAAAAAATAAATGGTTAGCAGCATGCAACGAGGCGGGTGAAGAAATTAATTGTTTAAAGCGCGCTCATCAATCGTCGGGTACGGATGATTAAACTGCGAGGCTGCACGTAAATCATTGCCGCGGGAATTATTGCAGAAACTGTCAGTTCTTTGGAATGTGCGGCACGAGCTGCCACGTTTGCAAAGAAATGTGAACGCCGGCAGTCCACGTGGCAGGCCAAGGACGCCTACATCTTGTGGTCTCCGTTTGACGCCATG